AGGCCGACTTCTCAAAGTAGTAGTGGCCAGATACTATTTGCTGACACAGGAGCTACTGGCAAGGAGAACATTAGCACACTCTTGGTCAGGATGTGACAGGAAGATTAGGTGGGAACTCTCTCATTCATCTCTTTCTCTGAATCTCCCCTTCTCACAGCAAGGCAGGAAGCAAACTAGATTTTCAAGGGCAGCCAGATAAAAGTTCAACCCAAAAGCTCATTGAACTGCTTTGAAGTGGTTTTCACTTAACGAAATAGGAAAGAAAGGAAAACTCCGGCAAGCGAGGTGACGCTCTCCTGCCTCGCCCTTCGCTTTTGTAGTTCAGATGTTTGTGTTTGATGGTCAATTACTGGGAGACCTGGAAAGTTGCACTCCAAGCATTTCTGCTTCCAAAAAGAAGTTCGCAACCAAAACACCTTGTAGAGGTTCCTTTATTACTGCTGCTTAAAAGAGAAATCCATTTCTGTCACAGGCACAGGCTGGTTCAGACTCAGCAAGCCAGGAGCCTGCCGATTCCAGCCGGGAATCTTGCTGTGTGTGGTCCTGGATCCAAACACTCTGCAGCATGGTAGAAGCCAAGCTTTATTTGTTCCACAACCATATAAATATAAATACACAACATTACGTATTATACAAATTCGCAAGGAATCCTTCACTGTTATCCCATCCAGTCTCTCCAGTTCCTAATGTTCATAAGGACCTTCAAGGTGAGATCCCTGTGTAACGTCCTGCTGCTTGTTGCCTCTCGGGGTCAACCAGGGGAGGTGTACGCGCAGGCTCAGAGCAAATCCTGCCGCAAAGTTACGCGGAGGGATTTGTTCGCCATCTTGATTTCGGGTTTAAATTTAGTTAACTCTTTCTTCAGTTCTTATTGAAACAACAACATCAATAAATACAGCTTTCTCATGACATATTTCCTTACAGGAAAAAAAAAATAAAGTTTGCTCAAAGGCAATTTAGTCACTTCTGATTTCTGAAGCAAAAAGGTCTTTGCATTACTGAGGGTTTCATTTAAAAAAAAAAGTGTGATCTCAAGCCATTACAATCTGTGAAAATCACAAATAGAGACATTGAAAAATGTCTAATTCCATTCTGTGTGCACTGAAATCGTGCACGGATAGAAAAAAATAAAGGCATGGCCATATTTCCCTGAGGATAATTCTTCCATGCAGACCAATATTACAATGACACATTTTTGTAAATATTTTGAATGTGCACAATTGATTTTTGTCACTTGTCCAACACCTCGAAGTGCTGACAACATCCTAACACACGCTTCTGGATCTGCTTCAGCGAGCAACTGGCAACCATCTACAAATGGCTGCTCTGTTTTGATGTACGCTTAATTAATGCTGCATATGAAGCTCCAAATGGCACAATTCATGAGTTTAAAATATTAATTCTTAGGCTGCTTTGGTTAACTGGTTCTAAAATGGAAATTGAACTTTATTTCACATGGTTATTAAATTCTCTTACAATAAGTCCAACTTTAAGATAAAGGGATTCATAAAAATCTTTTCTGATTTTAGTCCAAGGATGGGAATTACATAAGGATGTTATAGACAATACTACATGGCTTCAGCATTGCAACTGTATCTACCAACTCACAGGGGATGGGTGGGATTCTGAGTTATGACATCTGGCCACAAAGTCCAAGCTGTTTTTTGATGAAATTCGAGATTAGCCGCTGTGGCCGCTGCTGGTACTCCACCAGGACATCGTGGGACAAATTGATCTGGTCACTCTCGAGTCTGTCAAGAAGTGTCACACAGACCACGGCAGCTAGGAAAGCAAGTCACATGGTTAGTGATGCAAACAAGCTCATCTGTTCTATAGGATACTAGCCTAAAATGCTGGCATTCACAACATATACATTTTAAATTGGGATCAGTGCTGAGCCCTTAGGATTGACAATGGTGGCAGTAACCTTAGTCAGCATCTAAAAGTGCATTTCTGCAAAGGGGGTCAATTCTATGGACATGGGCAGCCTGTGCCAGCACAAAAATAGAGCTGGGTAATATCCATTTCTTGACTCGCTGCTTCGGGAGTCACTGGAGTATAGGAATTTAAGAAGAAGTATACTATAATCACAAGAGCTCATGCTATCTTTTAAATTTTTACTTTTCACTGATAAATGATATCCCTATATATTTAGAGATACAGTGAAATATTTCAATAGAGATATGCATTATAGAAAGACATAATCAATCTCACTAACATATGCATCCTTTCACATTCTTATTTTTCATAATAACAACTGAAAATTACTCCATTAGATATTTAGACATATGCATAATTAGCAACAATACTCACAATGCTCATTAAAACATTAACATTTATTCCTCCATCTAGCTGCAACCTTGTACCCTTTGGCCAACATGTCCACACTTCCCACCCTACCCCCTTCCACTCCCCTGCCTCAAGTAACCACGATTGTAATCTCTACTACCAGGGGTGTTTTTGATTGCACACATGAATGAGACTGTGCAGGTTCACTTTCCATCCCGGACTTATTTCACTTAGCGCGGTGTCTGCGGTGTTCATCTGTGCTGCCCCAAACCCCCAAATCTCCTTCCTTATAAGACAGACATGTTCTGTTTTATGTGCGTTTATGTGTATTTTTCCATCCAGTTATCCCTGGTGATCCCTTTGGTTGTTTTTGTTATGGTGGCTGTTGCTGGTGACGCAGCAGTGAACACTGGCGGTAGCATCTCTCCCACATACTGGTTTTAGTTCTTTAACTTAGACATTCAGTGGTAAGATTGTCAGCTATTGTGGTGGGTCTGTTTTTAGTCTGCAAGACCTTGATGCAGTTTCCCACGATGGAGGTTCTCCTTCATATCTCCATCGCCAGCATACTAGGGTCCCTTTATTTTTAACCTCCTCACTAGCGCTTGTAATTGTTTCCCTTCCCATAGTCATTGGGGCGGGTGATCAATGATCATTGGGCTACTTGCTTCCCTGCTATTAAATTGTATGAATTTTTTTGGGTATTTGTGTTATGAACATCTTATTATTCACCTTGCAAATATTTTCCAATCCGTGTGTCCTTTCGTTTGGTTTATTTCTTGTTGCATTCAGTCATTATGACCCCATAATTCAGGTATCCATGTCATGAATGAGGTAACAATTTGTTCCCTTAGACGATTAAATGAAGGCTTAGAAAAGGTAAACAAATGGCCCATTATGATGCAACTGCTAAGGAAGTAGCCAGTTAAACACAGCTGCATCCATTTCTCTCCAGTACATGGTGAACTGTTCCGATTTGCCCCGGCCTACCCATCAAAATGATGCTCACAATTGAGTCAAGAGCAATGAAAATAGTCAACTGGAGAAGAGCTGAATAGTTCACCGCCTAGGGCCATGTTTACTGGAAACTCACTTGGTTGTAAAGCAACTTGGCTAAACAGGTGACCAAAGTGGGAGAGTTAACGACATATTCCCC